ATAGACACAAGAACAATGAAGACAGACAAGTAAATCTGCAACAAGCAGAAGCGTTGACAACGATGAGAGGGAGATCAATAGAACGTGGCAAAAGCAGCAGTCACAAACATGGTAGATCAAAGTCGAGAAGCAAGAAGAATTTAAAGTGCTACAACTGTGGAAAGAAGGGTCACTTGAAGAATGATTGTTGGAGTCTGAATAAAAACTCCAATCCACAAGGCAATACCGCAAACACTTCAGATGATGGAGATACTCTATGTTGTGAAGCGTCAACCACTATGGAAGGTAGAAAGAGATATGCAGATATATGACTCATTGATTTGGGAACAACATATCACATGACCTCAAGAAGAGAATGGTTTCATCATTATGAACCTGTCTCAGGAGGATTTGTCTATAGTTGCAATGATCATGCCTTGGAGATCGTTGGCGTGAGAACCAGCAAATTGAAGATGTATGATGGAATAATTAAAGTTGTTTGAGATGTGCGACACGTGAAAGGCCTAAAGAAAAATTTATTATCCTACGGATTGTTGGATAATAATGCAAGCAAGTTTGAAACACGGAAAGGAATCATGAAGGTGTTCAGTGGAGCGCTTATGGTACTGAAAGGCGAAAAGACAGCAGCAAACTTGTACATGCTGAAGGGAGAGACTTTGCTAGAAGCAGAAGCCTCTGTTGCCTCATGTAGTTCAGATTCTGCAATGATATGGCATAAAAAACTTGGACACATGTCAGAACAAGGAATAAAAGTCCTTGCGGAGCAAAAGCTACTTCCAGGCTTAACAAAGGTATCACTTACTTTGTGTGAGCATTGCATAACAAGTAAGCAGCACCGGTTGAAATTCAACACATCAAATTCTAGAGGCAAAGGTGTTCTAGAATTGGTTCACTCTGACGTATGGCAAGCACCAGTTACATCCCTAGGCGGAGCAAAATACTTTGTCTCATTCATTGATGACTACTTCAGGAGATGTTAGGTGTATTCTATTAAGAATAAGTCATATGTGTTTTCAACTTTCAAAAACTTCAAAGCGCGGGTGGAACTTTATTCTAGAAATAAGATCAAGTGTTTCAGAATAGATAATGGAGGAGAATACACAAGTGAAGAATTTGATGACTCTTGCACGAAAGAAGACATCAAAAGACAGTTCATAATGGTGAACACTCCTCAACAAAATGGAGTGGCAGAGCGGATGAACAGAACCTTGTTAGAAAGAACAAGAGCAATGTTGAGGGATGCAGGCCTAGAAAAATCATTCTGGGTAGAAGCAGTCAATACCGCTTGTTATTTGGTGAATCGAGCTCCATCAACTGCAATAGAGCTGAAGACACCAATGGAGATGTGGAATGGTAAACCAGCTGATTATTCAAACCTCCATATATTTGGAAGTATAGTGTACGTGATGTACAACTCCTACGAAATTTCAAAGCTGAATCCAAAATCCAGGAAATGCAAATTCTTGGGGTATGCTGAATGAGTAAAGGGGTATCGCTTGTGGGATCCCACTGCCCGCAAAGTGATCATCAGCATGAATGTTATCTTTATAGAAGATATGCTACAAAGAAAAGAAGACGATGATAGCATTGAAAAGTCAAAGACTACACAGATACATGTGGAAAAGGATTTTGAACAAGGAGATTCTTCTGAAGCAGAACCAGCACATGATGAACAAGAACTAGAGAGTTCTGAAGCTCCAACAACTCGTCAATCAGATCGTGTGAGAATATGTCCCAATTGGCACTCAGATTATGTTATAGAAAGTAATATTGCATACTGTATTTTAACAGAGGACGGTGAGCCATCAACATACCAGGAGGCAATAAACAGCTCAGATGCTTCACTGTGGATGATGGCGATGCAAGAAGAAATCAAAGCCCTTCATAAAAATAATACATGGGACCTTGTGCCACTACCACAAGGAAGGAAGCCAATTGGTAACAAATGGGTCTTCAAAATCAAGCGAAATGGTGATGATCAAGTAGAGAGGTATCGTGCAAGACTGGTGGTCAAAGGATATGCTCAAAAAGAAGTTATTGATTTCAATGAAATAGTTTCTCCTGTGGTTCGACTAACAACAGTTCGAGTAGTCTTGGCAATGTGTGCTACATTGAATTTACATCTAGAGCAGCTAGATGTTAAAACAACTTTTCTTCATGGAAATCTTGAAGAAGAAATTTACATGCTCCAGTCTGAAGGTTTTGAAGAAAAATAAAATAATAACTTGGTTTGCAGGTTGAACAAATCTCTGTACGGTCTAAAGCATGCGCCGAGGTGTTGGTATAAGAGATTTGATTCCTTCATTATGTGCCTTGGATACAACATACTTAATGCAAACCCTTGTGCTTATTTCAAGAGGTCTGGTGATAACGATTTTGTTATATTGCTGTTGTATGTGGATGACATGTTCGTTGCAGGACCCAACAAATATCATATTGAAGAATTGAAGGCACAACTGGCTAGGGAATTTGAAATGGACTTGGGATCAGCAAACAAGATTATAGGGATGCAAATTCACCGAGACAGAAGTAATAGGAAGATTTGGCTTTCACAAAAGAATTACTTGAAGGAGATATTGTCAAGATTCAGCATGCAAGATTGTAAGCCAATTTCTACCCCTCTTCATATTAACTTCAAATTATCCTCCAGTATGAGTCATAGCAAAGAAGAAGATATGAAGGAGATGTCTCGAGTACCGTATGCATAAGCAGTGGGAAGTTTAATGTTCGCTATGATATGCACAAGACTATACATTGCACAGGTAGTGGGAGTGGTTAGTCGGTACATGGCGAATCTAGGCAAAGAGCATTGGAATACAGTAAAGAGGATCCCGAGATACATCAAAGGGACCTCAAATGTTACATTATGTTACAGATGATCAAACTTACTAATCAATGGGTATGTAGATTCTGACTATGTAGGGGATTTTGATAAAAACAAATCTACTACATGATATGTGTTCAAAGTTACTGGTGGAGCTGGAAGCTGGGTTTCAAAATTACAGTAAGTTGTGGCTACATCCACAACAGAGGCAGAATATGTAGCAGCTACACAAGCCAGTAAAGAAGCAATTTGGTTGAAGATGCTTTTGGAGGAGCTTGGTCACAATCAAGAGCATGTCTCTCTATTTTATGACAGTCAAAGCTCCTTGCATCTAGCAAGGAATCCAACATTTCATTCAAGGACAAAGCACATACGAGTTCAGTACCATTTCATTCGTGAAAAGGTGGAAGAAGGGACAATAGATATGCAGAAGATTCATACCAAAGACAACATAGCAGATTTCATGACGAAGGCAATCAACGCTGATAAATTTACCTGGTGTCGATCCTCCTGTGGCCTGTCAAAGACGTAAGCAACATGAAGGTACAAGGCAGAAAGAATGGTATGAAGATATGATTGTTCCAATCAAATCTGCAAGTGGGAGATTGTTGAAAATCAAGTCAAATTTGGCTATAGCAGCCGGCTGCTTTTGAAAATTAAATAGCATGTTTTTGTGGAAAATTGGCAAGGGTCAATTACTAATTTAGTCACTATAATTTTGGGTATTTACAAGATTAGACCTTAAGCTTCAACTATAAATACCCTAACCCATTTAGCTTCAAATCCATCCCAAAGCATTATAGCTTTCTTCTAATACTAGAAAGAATTTAGAGAGTTTCTTGAGAGTTGTTTTCTCCTTTTTATCAAGAGAGAATTATCATTGTTTTCTCATTGGTAGATCGAGAGAAGTTGTAATTCCTATTTTCTCATAGTGAAATTCTTATACCATTGTCCGTGGTTTTTACCCTATATTATTTAGGGGTTTTCCACGTAAATTTTGTGTCTCTTTTATCTTCATTTTTATTTTCTCAAATTATCAGTTGCGATTTTGCTCTATCCGATAGCCATCTTCCATAACAGTTCGATGGTTTTAAATCACAGTAAATGATTCCTTTTGAATGTAAATATCTAATAACAATAATCATTTCCATTAATAACTCGTGAAGGACATCAAAAGAATAACAAAAACATACTGCATACAATACACGAACTACAATAGAAAAAATGAAAAGAAAAACAATCCTTACTGCAAAGCTCTGACAAGATCATATGCTAAAAAGTTGATGGATCTCGTGTCTTATAAAACGCTAAATCCATTATAGGACGCAAGATAGTCATACGTGGACAGTTTGGGAGGTATTTTTTCTAATAAATTTGTTAAGGGGTTAATGTTCAAAAAAATAATTTATGGGTTTTTTTATATAATAATGCCGAGATGATAACTATCAAATTTTCAGTCAAGAAAAAAAGTACTTATTTACACTTATAAAGTTGGAAAAGATCTAAAAAAAATAAAGATTATTGATGTTATCATTGTCGCTATCGAAAGAGAGATATGTTTGTTAGTGTCGACAAGAGAGAGGTGTCGATACTGGAAGAGAAGATATTAGTGTTTGTCGACAAGAGTAAATTGAGCGTTTACTTTAAAGTGAAAATAAAAAAGTGTTTTTTAAAATCAAGCTGTAAAATAAATAAAAAATATTATGTTGATTAAGAAAAATGAATTACATTGAATAATTTATTTAATCCCAATCAAATACGAAATAATAAGGAAACTGTTTTTTATAAATTAAATTACATGAAACAAAAATACTTTAAATCAATATTTAACAAAGACGGGATAACTGAACGATAGAGGAACTTTAAATTTCGGAAATAAATAAAGAAAAGAAAATGATACTTTGATTTAAAGATTTAATTAGAATGTTTTGAAATTTAGGGATTAACTTAAAATTTAGTATATAGTTAAATGAAGATCGATGGAATTAACCCTAAAGGAATAACCCTAGTAAAATAAATAAAATAATTTGATAATCAGCATGGCTCCTTGAATCCATGGGCCTTTGACCCAAGATCCATATACAATATAGGACTGTAGGGCTAAATATTTAATTTTCCATAAAAAAACTCCGTACCTGCGAGTTAAAGGAACGTGTTTGGGGAAGACCCCCATTTGAATGAGAGAATAGCATTTTGTTCTTCCTCATTTTTCGTTTATTTTTTTTCTTTTGTAAAAGAAGTTTTGTATACAGTCACTCTTTACATGTAGCTGAGCTCTGAGCTCTTCCTTCAATCAGGTATTTCCCCCTCTTTATTTGACCATTTTTCTTCGCTTAGGGTTTCTTTCTTTTTGTTCTCCGCTAAACTAAATTTTCCGTTAAAAACGGAACATTTTCTCGAGAAACAAGCAGATTTTTTGGTAATTCGCATTATTTTGTCGGGTTAGATATCTCGGGAACTTAGTTTGCTAAATTTGAGCTTTTGATATTCTATCATAAGAAATATGTGTTACTGAGCTAGGAAATCTTAAGTGTCCTTTTTTTGTTGAAATATATTGATTTTCAGCATGGTAATTAATACTTTGGGACTGAAAATTTGATTAGTACGAGGAGTTAGATTACTGTTCGAAACTACTCTTGTTAGGGCAAAATTGGTTTGAAAAAGCGGAGACTAAATCTGATAGTTTGGGACTGATAAATTTTTTCTTGATTATTTCCTGTTAATTTTGTAGTTCATAGGAGGAGATGGCGTCTTCTTCACAAAATGTGGAGTTAGAGGCGGCAATGTTTCTGCATAAACTCATACAAGATTCTAAAGATGAGCCTTCAAAGCTGGCGACAAAACTTTATGTGGTATGGGTTTTTTTGGGTCAATTAAGTGGTCTTTATCGTGCACGAGTTACTGAGTTGGCTCTTCATTTCATTACCATTTATACAGCAGCTGATTTTTATTATATTTGAATGTTTTAGATATTGCAACACATGAAATCTAGTGGGAAGGAACATTCAATACCGTTTCAAGTAATATCAAGGTGAAATATTGTTTGAGGTTCTTTAAGTCTTCTTGTAAATGACTACTGGATTTTGTAAACTAGTGATACAAGTGCTGATGTTATTGTCATCTAGACGACATAGTGATTTAGCAAATTGAGTTAATTCAGATAATGGTGGATCTGATAATTAAATTTGATTGACTGTGCACCGTTTGCTTTTTTTATAAATTAACACTTTCATTCTTAGTTTTTGTTGCCTTTTAATGGATGCAAGAACCTTCATTTTCTTTTAATGTATAATGAAATGACTGGTGGAACGATTTTGGTCTTTATTCAGGTTGTCTTGCAATTGTTGAAACACCTTTGACTAGTCTGTGACTGTATTTCCTTCTGCTATCAGAGCATTAATTGCCCCACCATGAATATGGTTAGACATAAATTAAATAGATCTCAATTACACAGTGTGGCCCATCCTCTTTTGCCCCAAACAAGCTGTTCTTACCTTTTTCCTTCTGTGTGGAGCTATGCTTAACGTTGTACTAAGTAACAGTTGCTTGAATTAAAGTAAAAATTTGTGATTAAATTAGTTTGTTCATAAATGTGTCTGTTGCTGTTTAAATTTATATATCTGACTCCAGGGTTATATTGTTAAATAACTTGAATTAAAATGTGCTTTCACCTCAAATTCAAAGTGCAACTAACATGTCCTTATTCTCCAGGTTTTCTCCCTCTTTACACTATGTGCTTGGATATATCTACCTTTTGCATTTGTCTTTTGGTTTATCTAACTGTTATATTAATTTTATTTCACCTTTTTAGTATCTCTATGGTCGCAATGATGTTTAGAGCTTCTTAATATTCAAAGATATAGATCTCTGTTCAAGTCAAATTTTCATTGTGGTTGTTAACCCTTTCTCTGGAAATGTCTGCTATTTTACCTGACATTGTCTTTTTTATTGAAGGGCGTGGGAGGCTGTTATCAACCGACATGGTCTTGATCTGGAGTTTTTGAAATCATCACAGCTCCCTACTCCCGGGTCTCAAACAGTGGATTCTACGTCTGGACAATTTGTTGGTAAATAGCTGTTAATCACACTTCAGTTAGCTTCTCATGGCAAATTATTACTGATGTATCCCCATTGTTGAATGGCATATTGAACGAACCATTTACAATGAGATTCTTTTCTCCAGGATCTTCTCAGGCTGTTGCAATTCCAAAAGACTCTAAAGCAGGTCTGTCCCAAAATGAGATACCTAAATTTGATTCATTTTCGGCCAACAGGCCGCCTGTTGTCCCAAGCATTGCCGGACTTGAGTATTATCAAGGAGTTGAAACTCACAGGGGTGGTCAGTCTTTTGATCAAGGAAGCCCATCAAGTTTGGAAACCCGGTCTGCTAACTCGCAGTCACAAGACAAACAAATGAATCAAAATGATAGTAAGAAGGGTGCTACTGCAACTAAACGAAAGAGAGCTGATTCATCAGCACCATTGGAACCAAATTTTGATGAATCTCTTACTGCCGTTGTTGATCATAGGAAAGGGAAGATGAATAAGGCTGAAACATCTGGCACTGCTAACTACACCATGGTCGCAAGTACTAGACAAATGGAACGTTTTCCATCCCCACCTGGAAATATGAGATCAATGCATAGAGGCAGACAGGATGGACAGAATGTAACAGAAAACCTAGTTGATTCGACAAATGTTAGCAATTTGATGTCACGTACTCCTAGCTCAAAGTATCCTGAAGAGGTGGAAGTTTCGTCTGCACAAAATATACCTAGACAACAACAAGGGGGACTACCTGGTGCACATGAAATTCTTTCCTCTAGGGGCAAGGCCGGGGTACCCTTTGACAGATCTCAACTTAACAGGTTTTCTCCAACTGTTTCTGGCAATATGACAACAGAAATTGCATCACAGCAGTTGATGCATGCATCTGTTATACCAGGTGAGGATGGACTCCAGGTTTTGAAAAGATAGATTTCTATGTTTAGTAGGTTGACTCCCCTCTCCCCGTTTGGTCTAGGCAAAAAGGATGAAGGAACTGTAGTTTTAGATTGTCCTAGTTAAGTTTCTGATTTTGATGAGATCCGTATGATATTCTATTTCTGTATAATTGTCTGAGCTGGATATTCTGTAGTTAGTAGGTTGAATTTTTTTGGTGTGTTTGTGTGTGAACTGTGAACCATTTGATTGAAGCTTAAATTTATTTGGGATCCATATTAGGTTTTTTGTGGACCATGCTATCTTCAATCTTGGATCATGTTTCTAACTTTTTGGCCTGATCCACTCAAATTTGTAAACGGCTCCCCCTGCATTTCTCAAATTTGTGGACCCATTTTCATGATGGTGACCAGCTAGAGTGATAGAGAATAAGATTGACTGTGCTTGGACACTTAAAATCTTGGCTGAATCCCCAAACATCTCAGTCAGTGAATAGTTTTTTTTGTGGATAAGAAACAGTTTGTGAATAGTTATCATATCACATTGTTGCTATTGTTTAACTTTCAGGTTCTTTTGGGAAGGTTCAAGGCCTGGCTGCCCCATCGAACTCATATAATGTAGGTGAGCTAGCATATTCAGATTCAGGTCAATTTAATGGTTCTGAGAGTCAGAAGCATGGATTGTCCAAAAGTTCTGTAGCAAGTCCTGATGGGTTGTCATCAACTCTTTCTGCTGGAAAAGTTTTGGAGCGTGATGGAGGAAGTCCAAATATGCTAGCAGATGTAAATAAGATAGCTCAGGTGCTAGTTATGATTCCCCCTCCCTTTCTTCCCATGCACATTTTTGTTAAGTCGCTATGGCTTCAGTAATGATAGTAACAGTGCCATATTGGGGTTCTGTTATGGCTTTCTTGAGAGGAACGGAATGATTAGTTTTGAACTGCTTCTAAAATGTTCCTTTGAATGTCACTGATTTGTATAACGAGTCTGCTAGTTAATATTATTATTTATCTGTGTAGGCTGGCAGGAAACAGAGTACCTCAGAAATGAATATGCTTAGGGCCATGGCCCCAAGAGATATAAGGAAGTCTCCTTCCTCTCAATCTGCTTCATCTGGCATGCCCTTCAAGGAACAACAGTTGAAACAGCTTAGAGCCCAGTGCCTCGTTTTTCTAGCTTTCAGGTATTGCAGTAGTGTAGGTGATAAGAATCTTTATTGCAGCCTGTTGTTTATATATATTTTTGAACTTGTGATTGTCCACTTGCAGAAATGGCTTAATGCCAAAAAAGTTGCATCTTGAAATTGCGCTTGGAAACATATCTCCGAGAGAAAGTGGGTTTTTATTATTTATTTGTTTTGCAAATATCATTTTCAGAAGTCTATATCTTTTCACTTGGTAATTCCAGTTGGCAATACAGATGGTCCTTGCAAAGATTTGATTGACCATAGAGGCAGAGCACAGACTTCGAATGAGCCAAGTAGCATATCTGAAGTTGCAATGTCATTTGGAAGGATGAATAATGCACCTCCAGCTTTAACGTCTATAGGAAGATTTCCAGAGGCTGATTCCTGGTCAAAAGAAGCAGAAACTTTAAAAGTGGGGACTAATGCCCCGACTTCTGATCTTTCAGCAATTGTGGAGGAAAGGAAACATATTCCAGCTGCAAGGAAGGCAGAGGGTGATATTCAGAGCCAAGAGACAGTGGAACCACAGGCATACCTACCTACAATGTCTCGACAGCCCGACTCTGCTACTACAAAGGATGGTTTTACTTTTCATATGGATAGCATGGAGAATGGCCATTTGCAAGTTGGAAAGGCTGATCTAGCCTCATCTATAATGGATAGTAATAAACAAGTGAACCCTGAAATGATGGGCTGGTCTGGAGTTGGCTTTCATCATGAGGTTTCTAGGGCATCTTTGCCAGCAGCTGCTGTACAGCATGATTTGGTGCTAGAAAGAAACGAAACAGCTCTGCACTTTCAAAGTCCTGGTAATTTTACTGAATCAATATCTCTTTTCCTAATGCTACTTGTCTTCTTATCTATTAGTGTAGTTTGAATGGAAATGGTAGTTTCTAATCCTTTTAGTTCTAATGAAGTTAACCTCTGTGATCTGGTGAGTATGGTGCACAAGATCCCAAAGTTCTTTGAATTTTAAACAAGATTAATTTGAGTTGGGTCTAAATTATTCCTATTAATTGAATGCTAAGAACTGTTGTCTGTCTTACCACAGAGCAAGATGAGCAGGATAAATCTGTATCAACTGATTCATTTTCATCTCCAAAGCATACTATGTCTGAGAAATGGATTATGGATCAGCAGAAACGGAGGTTCTTTGTTGAGCAGAAGTGGGTTGCAAAGCAGCAAAAAACAAGGCAAAGAATTGTTACTTGTTTCACGAAATTAAAGGTATGGTACAAGCTTTGTTCTAAATTCTTAATACTTGGTAATAACCTTGTTTTTCTTCCTTATTTGTCTGTAAAGCCATCCCACTAGATTTTGAAGGATATGATTATTTTTTGCTCAAATATTTGTGCACTGCTGTAAAAAGGAGAAAAGTATCTCCTCCTATCTGCAAATTCTGTATGTATAGGGAAGTAGAGATATTATAAAATCAGCAAAAAATTTCTCATTAAAATGAGTGAGATTTGGATTAGAAAGTTAATCCATAAGAAGAAAGATGACCACATATATTATATTATGATAATAAAACAACTTTCTATTTTTATTTTGGATGTACTTCATTTCGATAAAAAGTCTACTTCTCGTGATAGAACATGGAACAATTTTATATTTGGCTTTTGAGTTTAGGATACTGCATCATACTTTAGGATACTACATCTAATTTTTCTTATCACGAGTTAGGCTGGCTTCTTGGTTCCTAGCTAAGCATAAGGATGTTTCTATTCATAAGGATTCCTTGATTATGGATCCTTCATTAGTAGATTCCTACTCGCCCTACAGTTCTATGAAGTCTTCTTCAATCCCTTGGGTACCTCCCCCTTCTGGTTTTTTTAAATTGAATGTGGACGCAGCCGTTAGCAGTAATTGGAAGAAATCGGGTATAGGAGGTATTTGGAGGGATCATTCAGGTTTAGTCCTAGGTTCTTTTCAAGAGTCAACTGGTCCGGGACCTCCGACTATGATGGAACTTAAAGCTATTCAGAGGGTTATTTCATTATATGCTTCTGCAAGGGAGGGTTAAAGATAGGCTGATTGTTGAGAGTGATAGCAGGGTTGCAGTAGACTGGATCAACAATGTCAATTCATGCCCAGTTGTTTATGCATTCGTTGTTAGTGATATAGTTGACAATCTCAGATTTTGGGGGGGGGGTTATAAATTGGGTTGCAAGGTCAGCTAATATGGACGTAGATGCTTTAGTAAAGGCTGGAATAGGCTAATTTCTATGTTTGCTTTTTCAGTTTAGCATTTGATTCCTGTTCGGGTGGGATTTATAGACTGCTGTAAGGGTTATTTCGAAGAGATCTATATAGGTTGTAATCTTATTTTCTTTAATGAAAATCTAAGGCGCTCTTTTCCTCCTTCCGATGATTAAGGAGCTTCTTTTCAAGCTCCATTAATCAAGAAGGAGGTTTTTAATGAGGCCTTCTAATCTTATAAAAAAAAAATAACTTGGGTGAAATTGATTTTGTTGCATGATGGGTATTTTTAAAACTAAAGCTTAGGAACTCGGGTGAAATTGGTCTTTTCTTCCGTAGGAATAATTGATTAAAGAGTTGAAGGTATTGTATAATAACTTTGAGTTGGGTGAAATTGATTTTGTTGCATGACGGGTGATTTTTAAAACCAAAGCTTAGAAACTTGGGTGAAATTTGTCTTTTGTTGCGTGGGAATAATTGATTAAAGAATTGATGAAGGTATTGTATAAGAACTTTGACTGCATGTAAATCACACGAATGAGGACTTGAGACAGCTTTTGATATTCTTTTGGCAGTTGCATAGTTGTTTGTTTTTTATCCCCCTCCCCTTTGTTTTTTCCCCTCCCTCAGCATGGTGTTGTTGAGAAGCCATTGTTTTTGCATTTCATGATACCTCATGGTGTTATTTTTTTCCTACTGTCAACATGCGTGTTGAAACTTATCCCTTTTTAAGAAGGTGGATCTTTTTACTTTCCTTTCTTTTCTTTTTCAATGTCTTTTGTGTAATTTCTATCATAAATAGGGAGCTCAAAGAAATGCATAGTTTCACTATGGATATAGCATTGTGCGGACAAATTGTTTTGCAACTAATGCGTTCACATGTAGGGAAATGTGAGCTCATCTGATGATATATCTGCAAAAACCAAAAGTGTTATAGAATTGAAGAAACTCCAATTATTAGAGCTTCAACGTCGCCTACGGAGGTATGCCCCTTTTAAAATTTCCCTTAACTTATTATTATTATATTTCTTATGTTATTGTGCCAAGGTCATAGCTAAGTTGGGTTGGCAGTTTCCTTAATTTTACTCTGATTTTTCATTTGACATTTTCTTCTTGAATTCGGCAGTGATTTTCTGAATGACTATTTTAAACCGATTGCAAATGATATGGATCGCCTGAAATCATACAAGAAACATAGACATGGTAGAAGGATAAAACAACTTGAAAAATATGAGCAAAAAATGAAAGAAGAGCGACAAAAGAGAACACGTGAGAGGCAGAAGGAGTTTTTCAGTGAGATAGAAGTTCACAAGTATTTACCCTTTCGTTCTTTGTTACAATTAGATGCCTTTCTCTTATCTGGTTGCTTTAAATAGAACTACATCTTTTCTAACTTGCTTGGTATATTGAATCCATAGGGAGAAGCTGGATGATGTGTTCAAAGTTAGGAGAGAATGTTGGAAAGGTTTCAATAGGTATGTGAAGGAATTCCATAAGAGAAAGGAGCGTATACATCGTGAGAAGATAGAGAGAATTCAGCGCGAGAAGATTAACTTACTCAAAATCAATGATGTAGAGGGTTATTTGCGAATGGTTCAGGTTAGTTTAAGCTTACTAGCATTTGGTAGTCCAAAGTGTTTCGTCTACTTATTCTTACCGATGATCATTTTTGATGGTTTACAGGATGCTAAATCGGATCGTGTTAAGCAACTATTGAAAGAAACTGAGAAATATCTTCAGAAACTTGGATCCAAGTTACGGGATGCAAAGTCTATAGCAAGCCGCTTTGAGAATAATATGGAAGAGGTGCGAACTGCCAGTGTTGTTGAGAATGACACTGCTATTGAGGATGAAGATGAGGCAAAGGCAAGTTTTTTATTTGGCATCTTCTGTGTTGCTTCGTCCCTTCCCACACATTTTTGCTCACTTCCTTATTCTTTTTATACGTTGAACTTTTCTTACGGTTATCATGCTCTACAGCACTACATGGAAAGCAACGAAAAGTACTACCTGATGGCTCATAGGTATCACATTTGCTTCTTTCTTTTTTCCTGCATTTTCTTAACGAGTGTAACTTTGGATGTCTTTTGAGGTCATTTTATTTGAGAAGTCTTTTATTAATTATTATCAAATTATAATAACTGCTGGAAGGTTCACAATTAAAACTGTTTTTGCAGCATAAAAGAAAACATCAGTGAGCAACCAACATTTCTTAAGGGTGGAAAATTAAGAGAGTAAGTAAAATATGCACCCGACTAACAATATATATATTTTGGAATGGCTGGCACAGGGAGTGCAGTGTTTATTATCTTGCTTGAAATTTCTTAAAGTTATGCCTTTGCTGTTCAGGTATCAGATGAATGGCCTTAGGTGGCTGGTTTCACTCTACAACAATCATCTGAATGGCATTCTCGCTGATGAAATGGGCCTTGGCAAAACTGTTCAGGTATCAGTGGTTCTGAATCTTCTCTTGATTGCAGTGTATTGTATAATTTGTTGTCAATTTCTTTCGTTTGTAAATCTTGTGTTTTTGTAGGTTATTTCTCTTATTTGTTATCTGATGGAAAACAAAAATGATAGAGGACCGTTTTTAGTGGTTGTACCATCTTCAGTTCTTCCTGGATGGGAGTCAGAAATCAATTTCTGGGCTCCTGAGATACACAAAATTGTTTATTCTGGAACTCCAGAAGAGAGGCGTAGATTATTCAAGTAATGACATGCCAACATGAATAAAAACCTTCTTATCCAACAAATCTTGTTGCTTTAGAATATATAAGCCTCATTATCCATATCTGGTGCAGGGAGAGGATTGTACATCAGAAATTTAACATTATCTTGACAACGTATGAGTATCTAATGAACAAGCATGATAGACCAAAGTTGAGCAAAATTCATTGGCACTACATTATAATTGATGAAGGTCATCGGATAAAGAATGCTTCTTGCAAGTTGAATGCAGAATTAAAGCACTATCAGAGCTCTCATAGATTGCTTCTGACTGGAACACCTCTACAGGTTACAGATAATTTTCTCTGAATTTTTTAATATATATTTTTCATTTTACATCTGTATCAGATGCTTGCAGTACCATCCTTGTAGGTAACCCAGCTGTATTTCCTGCTGCCTTTTTTGTTAGCTTTTTGGTGTTGACATGAAGCCATGACTAAGTTTTAACCTATTTTTTTTGTGTAGAACAATCTTGAGGAGTTGTGGGCATTGCTCAATTTCTTATTGCCTAATATATTTAATTCATCGGAGGATTTTTCTCAGTGGTTCAACAAGCCATTTGAGAGTAATGGGGATAGCTCTGCTGACGAAGTAAGTAGTGAACTTCTGCAATCTAGATATGAAAATTATTTACTTCACTATCACAAAATTATGTGCTTATGCTGGTTATTTCTGACTAGACCCTACTATCCGAGGAGGAAAATTTGTTGATCATTAACCGTCTCCACCAAGTTCTTCGACCTTTTGTACTTCGAAGGCTGAAGCATAAGGTTTGTATTTACAGGGATGCTATGTTAGAGGTCATCCTTTTTATTGATATTTAGGTGGCACATTTTTTTGAATTCATTGTTTTGGATGATATTAAGACTATGAGGTACACTTTTCTTCCTTCCAATGTTCGTCAACATATTTCTTAGTATGTGGTCGAATACGAAGGGAGTTTTTAATGAGGCCTCCAACTTTTATAAAAAAAAAAAGATGCTCTGGAATTCTGGTATGCCAATTGGTTTGCATCCTCTTAATTTTTTTGGTAGGTTGAAAATGAGCTTCCTGAGAAGATTGAGAGGCTTGTAAGATGTGAAGCTTCTGCTTATCAAAAGCTTTTGATGAAGAGGGTTGAAGAAAATCTTGGCGCGATTGGAAATTCAAAGGTTTTTTAGGACATTTGATTCTCATTTTCCCCATGCAAAGTTAAATTTCATTCGCATAACTATTTTAGACATTTACTATGGGTATTTCCAATCTTCTTTTGCAGGCTCGATCGGTGCATAACTCTGTTATGGAGCTTCGTAATATATGCAATCATCCATATCTTAGCCAGCTTCATGTAGAGGAGGCATGCCCTTTCCCTATTTACTAATGCTTAGTTTGCTTTTGATATTGAACTCTGGAAGATAAAATATGAGAAAGTATTAGATGGTCTCTGTTCTGTAGCTTCCTGTAGAGTTTTTATCTTCATTATGTAATTCTGGAACAAATCAGTGGTTATTTGTTTGACTTTTTGTCTTCGATAATTTTGTAAGTTCGAAAACTGAAGGGTTGAAGATAATATAGTTCACTTTCTTAATGTTTTCTTGTAATAAACTAGGGTTATCAGTAGTTGCATCATGGATGGTGTAAAAGTTGTCTTTATTAATACAAACCTAACTTTTTGAAAAATTTTGTAGGTTGATAATTTAATACCACAGCATTATTTGCCACCAATTGTTAGGCTTTGTGGCAAGCTTGAGATGTTAGATCGAATACTCCCCAAGCTGAAGGCAACTGATCATCGGGTAAGCAAATCCTTTTATGCTAAGATAAAAAAAAATTATAGATGTCTTTTGTTGCATTTTGTAATATGGTAGTCCGTTTGCATGAAAATTCCTGATGCTGAATTGGCCTTTTGCCCTTTATATTATATGTTGATTAATATCATTTGTATGCTGGAAATCTCGTGTACTTTGCTGTGCTTTCAGTTTCTGTTTGTTTTGTTCATGATGCCATTGATGGTATTTGACATAACTAAATTAAGCCCTCTTTGTTCTTTTCAATCTTGGTGGAATGCGTAAAAAGCAGCTTTAGCATGGCCGTCTTTGACTTTCCATGAAAGAACCTCCACCTCCTTTAGTGTGTGTTTGCAAATATATATTAGTTTTACTAATATAACAATTCATGGAGGTTTCACTTCATTAATTTGAAATTTGTAGGTTCTCTTCTTTTCCACCATGACTAGGCTACTAGATGTTATGGAAGACTATCTCACTTTTAAACAATACCGCTACCTTCGGTTGGATGGGCATACATCTGGCGGTGATCGTGGTGCACTTATTGAAAAGTTTAATCAACAAGGTTCTGACTTTTTCATATTTTTGCTCAGGTCTGTCTCTAAATCCTAGCTTACAAAAAAATTACATAAATAATGCATGCCTAGTCGCCACAAAAGGAAAGAAGAAAGAAAGAAAGCTCTTCTATGCTTGTAGTGTTTCTGAACTGTACTTGATATCTTTGGGGATTAGGACGAGTGATTAGATGTTGTAGAGGAGAGTAAGAAGGGGACATTCTAGTTGAGAAGTTCATCAAAACTCTGGAATGCTCTGTAATATCTTTTGCTGGGGGTAATATATGGTTGGGTTTAAGAAAATAAAGGATTTACGGCTTTAAGTTTTGGATGACATATGTATTAGGAATCTTTTTGAACTTAGTAGGTAAACTGTTCATTCCTTTTTAGAAGTTATGCCTGCTAACCCCTCTGTTGGAGATTTCACTTTGAGCAAAGATTTTCTTAATTTTTGTGACTGAAAAGAAAATCTACTGGGAGAGGGTTGTATGAAACTGGGGGACTCCCTTACCTAAACAAGTCATGTTTGTTTGGTTGTGTCGATTTACTACCAGGTATGATCTTGTATTTCTGACATTTGATCGTATTGTCAGTATTCGGGCTGGTGGTGTTGGAGTAAATCTTCAAGCTGCTGATACTGTTGTAATATTCGACACTGACTGGAATCCTCAGGTTGGTATGGAAAGTTACATTTACTTGATTAGAGTTTCTTCTGATATTGGTGTTATTTTTTTAAAAAATAAAATTGTTTGGTTCAGGTTGATCTGCAAGCACAAGCAAGAGCTCATAGGATTGGCCAGAAGAAGGATGTACTTGTTTTACGATTCGAAACAGTATGTTCCTCTTCACCTAATTAATGTTTGTTTTTCATGCCAACTAGATTTTAGTTTATTTTATATTTTTCTTTAAACATATTCTGTGACTATAGTCAGATATATCTTTTCCTATTTCATTGGGGTGGTGCTGAATTTTTAATCGAGGTCAACTATTTCACTTTGATAAGGTTCAAACAGTCGAAGAACAAGTTAGAGCTTCTGCTGAACACAAATTGGGAGTTGCTAATCAGAGTATCACTGCAGGTTTCTTTGACAACAATACAAGGTAACCCGAGGTTGTTTGTTGAGCTATGGTTTACTGCATAGAGCACAAGCAGATTCAAGATGGTTATGGCTAATTTTCTTAAGGAAATTTCTATGATTTTATTGACAGTGCTGAAGACCGTAGGGAGTACTTAGAGTCCCTCCTGCGTGAGTGTAAGAAAGAGGAAGCTGCCCCCGTGTTAGATGATGATGCTCTAAATGATCTATTGGCCCGCAGGTATTGTTTATATTTTATTTAATTTATTTTGCCTGCTCTAGGCTATAACTAAAAATCATGGTTTTCTTTTGATATTTTTAGTTTTTGTACTGATCCAATTTTATGGCTGTGTCGTAATTCAACGTGAAAACTATTTTCTATTAATATATGAGCCTTTAGTTACCGGCATGATTTTGTTATTGATATCATCTCTGTGATTCAGTGAGCCTGAGATTGATGTATTTGAATCAATGGATAAACAAAGGCGGGAAGAAGAGACGGTATGCATCAAAACCTCTTGGGCTGTTTTGTCTCATGTTCAGCACAAACATTCTTGTCTTGATGATTAACTTCTGTTTTGATGCCATTCTATTTTTATTCGAACATGCAGGCAAAGTGGAGAAAGTTGGTAGTTGGATCAGGGATGGCCAGCTCCAAGCCTTTACCCCCTCTGCCATCTCGCCTTGTTACAGATGATGACTTGAAAACATTTTATGAAGCAATGAAATTGTATGATGTACCCAAGACGGGGGTGCAGCCTAACGTTGGGGTAAAACGGAAGGGTGGATCACTTGGTGCTCTTGATACTCGGCACTATGGGAGGGGAAAACGAGCAAGAGAGGTTTGTCATCTTTACCGCTTTTTTTACTCCACTTTTATAGCTTTGCTTGGTGTTGCAACTGCTTTTATTCCGGTACAAATTTTAATATGTGTGTTACCTTAAACTTTCTCATATTAGGTGCGCTCGTATGAAGAGCAATGGACAGAAGAGGAGTTTGAAAAAATGTGTCAAGCTGACTCACTTGAATCTGCCGAATTGAAGGAAGAAGCTGTTGAGAGGAAACTGCCAAAAAATGCTATGATAGGGACTGTTAATAGCACAGAACCTCAAGCCCCAGCCCCAGCTCCAGCCTCAACCTTGGCTCCAGCTCCACTTCCTCCATTACCACAACCAGTACCGGTGGAACTTGCACATCAGCCACCTCAGCAGAACAAAGATGCAACACCACCATCTAAACGGGGCCGTGGAAGGCCAAGAAGAGCACCTGCAGAAAAATATCCCACTACAGTGTTTCCAGCACCTTATGGAACCAGTAAATTGGATGTCGGGTTACCGAAATCAACGGATACTAGCTCATCAGCATTTCCTGCTCCTGATCCTCACAATTGTACAGGAGTGTCTCTGAATTTGCCACCAAGTACGCCCTCTGTTTCTGCTATTCCTGATGAATCTACCCCACCTGGATTCTCTCCTCCAGTAGAATCAAAAGGACAAGGACGAAGGGCTCAAAATGGAGGACAGGCACCTAGTCGCAGGGGAAAAAAACAAGAGCCAGCATTCAGCCCTATTGTTGAGGGTTTAGCTGGTCCTGCTCCAGAAATAAATGAGCAATCTCAGGTTGTATCAGTTAATCCACCAGATAGTCAAGCTGTTGCTATAAGTAGGACAGTTCCTGGTGTTTCAAGTGCTCCCGGTCCCATGGCTGCGGGGACAAATCCTGTACCAATTTCTGCTGGTACCAATCATCCATCTGATGCAGGGTTTAGTTTGAACTCTCAGACGCTTCATACTTCCTCGGTCGCTCCAATTGCTCAGTCAAATCTTCCTTGCCTTACTGTACCTGTCCAAGTTAAAGGCCAAGGTCGCAAGGCTCAAAGTGGGGTAGGAACACCTCGACGTAGGGGAGAGAAACAGGCACAAATATCAGCTGCTGCTCTGGATGTTTCAATTGGTCAGGATTCAAAATTGAATCATCAAGCACAGTTTAAATCTACAGAGGCATCACCAAGTAAAGTCATTGCTATGGAAGGCAATCAAGAAAACAATGCTTGTGATCTGGCAAAAGTTATTCAAGAGCAAGGGCGGGGGACTAGTTCACCTGCTATCGTAACTGGTCAGGATAAACATTCTACTGTACATGGTAATTTACCTCAAAGCAAGCAACCAGAAAGCTCACAGCATGTGCACAACAGTACTGCCATGATTCTTGGTATGAACATTGTATCTTTTAGTATGGATGAAATCAACGTGTCCTTTAATAATTAGTTCAATGGATATTATATGGTAAACTCAATACGAGTGACTTTTGCAGGGCCTGCTGTGGGAAAAATTCAACAAAACAATGTGAATGAGAAAGCTTCTGTGATTTCAGTGGTTTCATCTGAATTCAACTCTCAGAAAGCTAAGTCTAGTGAGGTATGTGGTAACCAAGGTGGTGCTCTGAATGTTGTTCCCGGATTAAGTCAGATTGCAGTTGAAGTAGTACAGAATCAAATTTCAGAAGCTAAAGTGCATCCAACTATTCCAATTGGGAAAACTGAACCTTCAGTTCCTATTACAACAACAGATTCTTTGCCTACATCAATTCCTTTAGCAGATGTGAGTAAATCCTCAGAAGCTAAAGTGCATCCAACTATTCCAATTGGGAAAACTGAACCTTCAGTTCCCATTACTACAACAGATTCTTTGCCTACATCAATTCCTTTAGCAGATGCGAGTAAAACCATCCCTAATCTTGGTGAAAGGATTGCTCCGAGCTCTGAGCCTTATCCAACTTCTGCTCCTGCTGCTTTTGAACCTCAGTTTGTCCCTGCTTTTCCTGCTGAATCTATTCAAAGTAGAAGGCCAAGTCGTAAGACCACAAACAGGGCAGAAGCACCTAGGCGCCGAGGAAGGAAATCTGCAACTCCTGATGCTTCATCTGGCCTGGACTTGAAAGTAAATTATCAGCCCCAGAATACATCAAAGGATTTATTGGTCAATAGAGCTACTGCAGGGAAGAGCAATCTAGAGTGTTGCCCTCATGAGCAGGTCAATGTCACCCAGGTACATGCATCTGAAGTTCATTCTCCAAATGCTTCAGTTGTTCATGATTCAATGAGAAAATTGACTGGTGCAGTCCCAGCATTTAGTCGAAGTGCGACTGCTGATGTGAATGATGTTGCCCGAGTGATGAAGGAGATTTTCTCTGAAACCTGCTCATCAAAGAATAAAGTTGGCAAACCTGCTGGGATTGAGGGAAAAAACATAACTACTGCACCATTATCAAGCAAGACATCTGAGGAGGCAGTTAAGAACGAAAGTTTAGATGTTAAGTCAGCTGTCAGCACACCGGGTCCTGTAAAAACTGCTTCAGCTAGTGATGTTCCAAAAGTAAAAGGTAAAAAGCAGATGGAGAATGAAGCTGATACTAAAGAACTGGAGGACAATGCATCTCTTGCGATTAAGGTCCCTGTTCTTGAGAGAGCTGATTCATTGAAGCCTGAATGCAAGACCCGTAGTGGCTCAGAAAACAATGCACATTCAAAAACGATTCCAAGTGACAATTCAATTACAGATGCGGTGGTTGATTGTACGCCTCCTCTCAGTGCTGGTGACATAAAAGATGAGGCTCATGGAACTCCTCCTGGTGGTGATCAAACTGGTTCTAGGATTCAACTGGGCTCACCCAGTCCAATGGACCTGCTTCAAGGTGCTGAGAGTAATAAAACCAACAGAGAGCCTTCTTTTAAAGAATCTCCCAAAGCTGACAATAATGGTGATGATTCCACAATGGTTTCATCTTGTTCAGGTGCTGTGTTACCCACTATTAATGTTTCTGAAGCCAAAAAAGAAAGGTTCGGAATGACTAGATCTATTGTTGTTGAAGGTCCAGAAACTTCAGGAAATACAAATAATCATAGAGCTAGTTCTGGGGTTGATGATACAGCTACAGCCCATGGGGCTTCTACTTTGGATGATTGTCCTGTTGAGAACCTAGGTGTGCAGGGTCAGTCTGGTGGCAATGAAGCTAAGGATGATATTATACCTGAACTGGTTCCTTCAACTGAATCTGCTGATACGGAGCTTGTTCCACTAGATGTTGGAGCCATGCAACGATACCTGGTGGTTGGAGATAAGGAGGGTGATGGTGTTGAGATTCACAATATGGAAGTAGATCCCTGTGAGACAGATTTTTCTTCTTTGAAAGACTTCATTGCTGATTCAGCCAGCAGCAGGGGTCCTGCTCCAGATGTTGATGGTGGGAAGCAACTTTCTGTCGGAGTTGAAACTATGAAGGGTGATAGTGTTGAAGTTTGTGATCCGGAAGATAGACCCTCAGAAACACAATTATCTGAGCCAGCTTTTCCACCTTTGGAAATAGCAGTTCCTGTTTCTGATATGTTAGGGGACAAGAATATTGAACCGTTCAGGAAAGACGCTGATGTAAAAGAGTCTGAGGAGAAACCTTGTATTCTGGTTATGACCTCTACAATGGAAAGTGCTTGTCCAGTAACTCAGTGCCAGGATGCCATTGGGCCTGAGAACATTTCAGACTCTAAACTGTTTTCCTCTGAAATCTTAAAAACTGAGAGTGCCATGGAGGTTGATTGTAAAAATCGTCATAGTGCTAATGAGAAAGAAGATTTTGATACCAAGGGAGCAAAGAGTCCTAATAGAGAAAACACTGATCTTGCCGTTGTGTCTTCTAGCAATCAAATAGGAATGTCCGTGGCATCTCCTAGTAAGGTGGATCATCAGTTCAATCAAAATGAAAACAAGACAGAGATCTCTTCAGAAAATTCTCCAGATTTGACTCATTGTGAAAGTAAAGATTCTGAATCTACCATTGATTCTAGAAAAGCCAGTGATGCTTGTAATGTTGCTGCTTTGGTCCCGCCTACTTTTGTCATGATGGAGCCTAAAGTGTCCAGTTCCGAAGGCAAAGAAAAGGCTTCATTGGAATCTTCAAAATCAGCTGCACTTGATAGGGTTGGTGTTGCTTGTGATTATTCTGGACTGAATGCAGTAGTTCCCTCGAGTCCAGGCCATTCAATTCGTGGATATCTTCCTGATCCAATTGCAATTCCATCTGAAGACAATGCAGAACCTTCTGCTAGAGAGTCGTCGGAATCTTCTTTCAACGCTGGAAGTGTTGACCACCCGGAAGAGTCTTTACCTATTATTGCATGTCCGGACAAGTCGGGTACAGTGAACATAACTGCTATGGTTGAGAACAGTTCTGAATGCAAATTAGAGCCTTCTGCTGATAAGTCGGGCACAGTGGAGGCACCTTCTATGGTTGATAATAATTCAGAACTTGAAGCAGAGCCTTCTTTGAAATCACATCTGGAAGCCTCTGCCCCTGATGTTGGAAACCTTCAAAGTGCTGCAATGTCTGCAAAACCTGATGAAGATGCTCATCTTCTGACTTCAAATATTTCATCGAGTCCTGCTTGTTCAGGCATGGTGGAACTTCCTGCTATTACTGAGAATGAAATGGAAAAGGAAACAGAACCATCTAATCGGAGTGAAAATACAAGGAATTCAGAATCAGAACCTGTGGACTTGTTTGCTTCTGATTCTGCTATTATAGCACATACGCCAAAAGATGATGAAGAGCAACAGCCATCAGCTGTCGAAAGGGTAGATAACTCTGTTGATGTTAGCAATGCGGAAGCAGACCCCACTGTGCAACCAGTGTCTTATCTGAAGGTTTTTAGGAACCATGGTGAGGTGAAGCCCTCGGATACACATGCAACTTCATTGGAAGTTACCACCGACTTCCTCAAGAGAGAACATGATCTGAATGGTCGGTCTCATGAGCTCATAGTACCCAAAAAGACACAGGCTGATCATGTTGAGGCTACTACTGAATCAAACTCCACAGAAGCTCAGGCATCTTTGCCGCTATTTGGCAATTCTGATAATAAAGAGCTTGTTCAGAGGTCTGAAGCTGATTGTGTTGCAGCCTGCAATGAGGAGTTAGACCCCTTAGGAGGACCATCCTCAGCACAAGCCGTCTTTGATGATTCTTTCCATCCTGATAAAAAACCGGAGCGTACACAGGCATCTGAGGTGGTTGACGCCTGCAATGTAGAATCGAATCCCACAGATGGACCATCCTCAGCACAAGCTGTTTCAGATGAGTCTGCCCATCCTGATAATAAACCAGAGCTTACACAGGCATCTGAGGTGGTTGAGGCCTGCAATGTAGAATCAAATCCCACAGATGGACCATCCTCAGCACAAGCTATTTCCGATGAATCTGCCCGTCCTGATAATAAACCAGAGCTTACACAGGCATCTGAGGTTGTTGAGGCCTGCATTGTAGAATCAAATCCCACACCTGGACCATCCTCATTACAAGACATTTCTAATGAATTCACCAATCCAGAGTTTAAACAAAATGAAGTCAGAACTGAGATCTGTTATGAAGATCATGCCGGGGCTTCTAAGCAATCTAAGGAGGTCAAAACTGCTGGTGTCTCTGATATGGAAATAGACCCTAACGAAAAAAAGGATCCTTCACCCGAATTGGAAGATGCTAATACTTCTGAGCAGCCGGCGGATGAAACTAATGCATAGATTAACAAAGATCAAGGGTTGGCCTCATGGTTTTCTTTTGATACCCTTAGGGTTTGCCAAAGCTGAATCATTATATCAAAATTTGTATATGTTTTATCTTGGTCTCTATTACTAGTTGTAAATACGTATGCTCAAAGAGTACTAGAAGACAGCTGTTGACTGTCATCTCCAATGATTGAATGAATTGAGTAGAAAAGGCTGAAGAGTTATTATGGGTAACTTTTTGCTGATCTAAGTCCCTGTTCATCTCTCCTTTTGTTAGGCTAGCTGGAGAGGGATGCTCGTAGTCGAATAGTCCAGCGACAATTTTAACTGAAACGTAAAATATCATCAAAGCTCGAGGATTTGAGTTGACGATGACACCTAGACATGTCGCCTCCAAATATCGAATTTAATTATTAAAAGGTTATTTTGAACTAATTCATTTCAACTTTGAATCTATTTGAATTTTATATAATTTAAATTTGCAATGATTTGAATAAATAAAAGGGCAAAAATAACTTTTTAAAATATACATCAAGTTTCTTTTGGTGTTTAAATAATTTCTCGCTTAAATATTTTTTCCATTATATTTTTAAGCATTTATATCATAAGGATCGTTAAAATAATGTCACATTTATATATTTTTAAAAAAAATTAATTTCTTAAAAAGCTTAAAAATATTTTTCTCTTTTTTAGAAAAATCTCAAAACTTTTATAAAATACTAAAAAGAATCTGAACATCTTTAACTCCAAACCTCTATTATCTGTTATCACTGAACACTACCGTTACTGTCGTCGCCGGCGGACAACCTTTCATCCATTATTATTATCATTGTTGTTGCCGTCATTCACCAAATTTCAAAGACTCATTCAATTCGATTTAATTCAATTATATCATAAAAAGTTACTCAAATTTTTAAAATAAAAATTAATATGATCAAATCAAAACATTCCAATTCAGGTAAAATGACATCCCTAATCTAATATCGAAGTTTAGACTTGCATGATAAGTCCAACCAAACAGCCGAACACTTAGAATAGCAAAATCCTCTTAATTGCCTGTGCATTGAGCAAAATCACAATCGTATCGGTTCCCGCCTCTGCCACAAAAACAGTGTAGAGAATCCGTACTGACAGATGTTGCTCATTTTCTTCCCCAATTTTGTCTCTACGTCTTCTCTTTTAGTTTTCTTTCGTTTCTCAAGCCCTCAAAAAAAAAAAAAAAAAAACCCCTCACCTCTTTTTTTTCGGGATTTTGATGGAACTGAAAGGACAAGTCATTTCCCTTTATCTATATTTCAGTTTTGTTTTTTTTATTAAAGATTATTTTGAACTTATTCCAACTAGCATTATTCGGGGTTTTGCTTCTTTGAAATTTATGTTTATATTTGCTAATGGCTCTTATGCGATTGGTTCATTTTTGTTTCTGTGTTTCCCCCCCCTTTTTTGGTTTAGAAGATTCAGTTTGGGTTTTGCGGGTTTGAAATTGCTTATAACTAGGGTTTTGGTTCTTAAGTTTTTAGGGTTATTTATGCTGCATTTAATGTTATAAAGAGGAGATTTATTTGGTTTTGCTGTTGTTTTGGTATATGGGCTAATAATATGATTAGCGCCGTCAATGGAAAATGTGAGAAATTGGAACATTGTAGCTAGTATTGTTATGCATAGAGTTGTAATTCTCTGATTTTCTCGGAATTATTCTTAGATGTTTCTGACCAGAATGCGAATGCTTGATCCGATCAATCCAATATCAAACAGATACAGAATTCACTTGAAATAGTTCAAACCCGAATTTTTTGGAAATGAAGGAAGGAATCCTCAAACCTGAAACTAAACAAACTCAAAATGACCCGAAAGTTTTAAAATCCAAATTAGATCCATCCACATTAATCAGACCCGCTCTATTGACGGGTCTATGTGTATTGTGATCTCATTTCAGGCTTCTGTGTTTAGTTGTAACTGAATATTCGAAAGCTTTCCCGGGATTTGCAGTTGGTATATTATTGGCATGATATTTAATTTGGTTGGTTTTGGTTATTTCTGAACTTCAAAGACTTCATTTTCGTTTTTCATATTTTATAATAACCTTTTATCTTTCAGAATTTCATGTTTCTTTGAACCCTTTGATTGAAAGAGTTCAATCCTGATTTGTTTCTTCCATGTGATTATTATGCTAATTTCATGTGTAAAAAATGCTGCAGTACCTTGTTTTTTCCTCCTTCCCATCTTTGAAGTTGATCCTTTTTTGTGTCGAAACTTTACATATTTGTCTTCATGCATGAATATCCACTTATCATATAAAATTGATATTGGCAATGAAATTTTGGATTTTGATTTCTTTATTCCTTTCTTTGTTTTGGCTCGGTTGAATTTATTTTATGTTACTTTTGAAAGGTCTGATTTGATAAAACTATTACAGGATTCATGTGGAGGTGTGAGCTGAGTTTCATGGCTGATAGTTAAGAGATCCTGGAGGAAAAGTAGATTTTTCCGGTGATGGACTGCAACGAGGACGAGGCCATCAGGGCCAGAGATATTGCAGAGCAGAAGATGCAAAATAAGGGTTTTTCAGGGGCTCCTAGGGTTGCATCCAAGGCTCAGCAACTTTGTCAGGATCTGGAGAATATATCTCAGATGATAGTGGTGTGTGATGTGCATTGTGCTGCCGAGAAACGATTGTTTGGTGATGGGATGGATTGGTATGCCATACTTAAGGTTGAGCCAACGGCTGATGAAGCTACAATCAAGAAGCAGTATAGAAAATTTGCACTCCAATTTCACCCAGATAAAAATAAGTTTCCTGGTGCGGAAGCTGCTTTTAAGTTGATTGGGGACGCACAAAGAGCTCTTTTGGATCAAGGAAAAAGATCTACACGACATGAAACGCAGAGTTACTGTTAACAGACCATCTCCAGCCGCAGCTTGTCGGCCTCCGCAGAACCCAAGTTGGTATCCACATGTGGCTGCTCAGAATAACTTCTGTGCCAACTTTCCTGGCTTGAATTCTCAACAGAAATCACAATCGCCAACTCAAATGGGTTTCTCCAATGGCCGGTCCACTTTCAAGACCAAGTGTCCATTGTATGGTTAAGTACCAGTATTATACAGAAATACTTAATAGATCTATTAACTGCCAAAATTGCAAGAAGGCCTTCGTTGCCTGTGATTCAGGTGTTGTTCCACTGGGAAGTAACATGTGTCAGCCAATCTTTCCCCAACAAGGAGTTGCTCAGAATCAGGGTGCTTGCAAAGTTGATCAACGGTCTCAAAGGAGTTTTACTACCGAGCATGTTTTTTACAGCCTTTACTCCAAATGCAGTTCGTGCTTCTGAGGCTGGAACGAGAAAGGTGAATGATAAAAGAGGAAGGAAGCAAACTGTAGAATCCTGTAAAAGCAGTAACGAGTGTGATGAGGATATTGTTATTGAAGGCAATGGTGATCTTATGGCTAGAAAGAAGTTCAATTCTCAAGTTGAGCAGAATGCGTGGAGATCTGGTTAGCAAAAGCAACATGTTTCATATACAAGGACAATTTAAATGATGAGGAGGACATGGTTAGTCTTCCGAAAAAGGAGAAAATAAGTGGATCACCGTGTGCAAATGATGAGATTGAAGAAATGCCAAATGAAGACGTCTAAACATGAAAGTCGAGCTGGTAAAGTGAAAGAAGATAAGAAAGCAATGAACCATAGAGAAGGTAAAAATTTTGGGGCAAACTTTGTGAAGGAAAGAGCTGAAGGGGATGTTCTTAAGAAACCTGGGAAAGTTTATGCTGACGGCCTTAAGGAAAACTTAAACCCCATTGTTGATGATTCTGTGTCAGATACGAGCTTCAAAGAAATAAAAGAGCCCCTGCTCTTTGCATACCCAGACCCGGAGTTTTATGACTTTGACAATGCGAAGAAAGAAAGCTGTTTTTCAGTCGGTCAGATTTGGGTTTTGTATGATACATTGGATGCCAAGCCTAGATTCTATGCTCTGATCAGAAAAATATTCTCTTCTGCTCAAAGTGAACCTATACTACTACTTTGAAAAAAACAAAAGGTGATTTTTGGACAACTTCGAAGCTAAATTTGGTACATGTATTTAAGGGAGTATCGATACTACCTAAAAGAATATTGATACTACATGTATGGTATCAGTACTAAGGTTATTTTGGAGACTTTTGAGGTTATTTTTGGTACTGATACTCGGGGGAGAGTATCCATACTCTAGAGTAGGTATTGATACTCATGTAAAGGTACCAATACCATCCATGATGATTGTTTAGTCAAATTCGAGACATCGAGTAGACTCCAGAGTGAGAAATTTAGTAGCGGTTGAGATCGAACATTTAACTTGAGTGTGAGAAATTACTAAATGCCCTTAGAGGGGATGAAAATACTAAACTGTTCTTATGGGCCTAAGCAAATGAAATAACCTATGCTAGTAAAAGTTAGGGTTGCAAAGTGATTGAATGATAGTACGAGACTTGAGTGAGAAACCAAGAAACATTATGATTAATTAATAACAAGAAGAATAATAATATTTCAACAGCAATACTGATGACTGTTAATAGAATGGTAAATGATGTGTGATGAGACATTTAATTTCATAACGAGAGTTTGATAATGAAGAATCCATATTTAAAATTTGACGACAGAGAATAATAAATCAAATGATGCGTAAGCCATCGATCAAGTCGATAGTGTTTGGCCTAGGGGCACTAATGTGTGTTGTGGTTGCACTGATGATGATTGTTGGATATTCATGACAATTGACTTGACGATTATTGTGACACCGAGTCAATGTTATGTTATTAAACAAGAATTATATCGAGACTATGGTGAGATCGAGTTCTCCTCCATGATCTATATTTGATGATTATGTTGAAAAAAAAGATCATAATATTGATTTGGCTGGAATTTTATCGAGGTATGTGTGACATCGGATTCCCCCATTTATGATTAGTATTTGAAGACTATAGTGACACCGAGTGCTATCATTGTGTTTGTGTAATGATTGTGTATTGTATATGGTGATGCATCGTTTTATGATATTGTGGTTAGGGATACAATATTTATGTGTAGATGCTTAATTTGTATGGGGCCTATATCATTTTCAAATGAAAGCAGTTCTGGGGAGTTAAAAACCAGAAAAAAAACGTGGGGGGGGGGACACGATCAGATAACAGAAAAAAAGAGACAAAGAAGGGGGAGAAGGGAATTAACCGAGTGGTCAAGGGA